GCGTGCCCCCTCCAGGGGTATAGGGCAGGGGTGCAGCAGTGTGCCCCTCTCCCAGAGTTGGGGACACAGCAGCGTGCCCCCTCCAGGGGTATAGGGCAGGGGTGCAGCAGTGTGCCCCTCTCCCAGAGTTGGGGACACAGCAGCGTGCCCCCTCCAGGGGTATAGGGCAGGGGTGCAGCAGTGTGCCCCTCTCCCAGAGTTGGGGACACAGCAGCGTGCCCCCTCCAGGGGTATAGGGCAGGGGTGCAGCAGTGTGCCCCTCTCCCAGAGTTGGGGACACAGCAGCGTGCCCCCTCCAGGGGTATAGGGCAGGGGTGCAGCAGTGTGCCCCTCTCCCAGAGTTGGGGACACAGCAGCGTGCCCCCTCCAGGGGTATAGGGCAGGGGTGCAGCAGTGTGCCCCTCTCCCAGAGTTGGGGACACAGCAGCGTGCCCCCTCCAGGGGTATAGGGCAGGGGTGCAGCAGTGTGCCCCTCTCCCAGAGTTGGGGACACAGCAGCGTGCCCCCTCCAGGGGTATAGGGCAGGGGTGCAGCAGTGTGCCCCTCTCCCAGAGTTGGGGACACAGCAGCGTGCCCCCTCCAGGGGTATAGGGCAGGGGTGCAGCAGTGTGCCCCTCTCCCAGAGTTGGGGACACAGCAGCGTGCCCCCTCCAGGGGTATAGGGCAGGGGTGCAGCAGTGTGCCCCTCTCCCAGAGTTGGGGACACAGCAGCGTGCCCCCTCCAGGGGTATAGGGCAGGGGTGCAGCAGTGTGCCCCTCTCCCAGAGTTGGGGACACAGCAGCGTGCCCCCTCCAGGGGTATAGGGCAGGGGTGCAGCAGTGTGCCCCTCTCCCAGAGTTGGGGACACAGCAGCGTGCCCCCTCCAGGGGTATAGGGCAGGGGTGCAGCAGTGTGCCCCTCTCCCAGAGTTGGGGACACAGCAGCGTGCCCCCTCCAGGGGTATAGGGCAGGGGTGCAGCAGTGTGCCCCTCTCCCAGAGTTGGGGACACAGCAGCGTGCCCCCTCCAGGGGTATAGGGCAGGGGTGCAGCAGTGTGCCCCTCTCCCAGAGTTGGGGACACAGCAGCGTGCCCCCTCCAGGGGTATAGGGCAGGGGTGCAGCAGTGTGCCCCTCTCCCAGAGTTGGGGACACAGCAGCGTGCCCCCTCCAGGGGTATAGGGCAGGGGTGCAGCAGTGTGCCCCTCTCCCAGAGTTGGGGACACAGCAGCGTGCCCCCTCCAGGGGTATAGGGCAGGGGTGCAGCAGTGTGCCCCTCTCCCAGAGTTGGGGACACAGCAGCGTGCCCCCTCCAGGGGTATAGGGCAGGGGTGCAGCAGTGTGCCCCTCTCCCAGAGTTGGGGACACAGCAGCGTGCCCCCTCCAGGGGTATAGGGCAGGGGTGCAGCAGTGTGCCCCTCTCCCAGAGTTGGGGACACAGCAGCGTGCCCCCTCCAGGGGTATAGGGCAGGGGTGCAGCAGTGTGCCCCTCTCCCAGAGTTGGGGACACAGCAGCGTGCCCCCTCCAGGGGTATAGGGCAGGGGTGCAGCAGTGTGCCCCTCTCCCAGAGTTGGGGACACAGCAGCGTGCCCCCTCCAGGGGTATAGGGCAGGGGTGCAGCAGTGTGCCCCTCTCCCAGAGTTGGGGACACAGCAGCGTGCCCCCTCCAGGGGTATAGGGCAGGGGTGCAGCAGTGTGCCCCTCTCCCAGAGTTGGGGACACAGCAGCGTGCCCCCTCCAGGGGTATAGGGCAGGGGTGCAGCAGTGTGCCCCTCTCCCAGAGTTGGGGACACAGCAGCGTGCCCCCTCCAGGGGTATAGGGCAGGGGTGCAGCAGTGTGCCCCTCTCCCAGAGTTGGGGACACAGCAGCGTGCCCCCTCCAGGGGTATAGGGCAGGGGTGCAGCAGTGTGCCCCTCTCCCAGAGTTGGGGACACAGCAGCGTGCCCCCTCCAGGGGTATAGGGCAGGGGTGCAGCAGTGTGCCCCTCTCCCAGAGTTGGGGACACGGCAGCGTGGCCCCCTCCAGGGGTTCAGGGTGGAGGCGCAGCAGCGTGGCCCCCTCCCAGGGGTGCGGGTTGGGAACAGGGCAGCGTGCCCCTCTCCAGGGATGCAGGGCAGGGGTGCAGCAGCGCGCCCCT